CATGTCTTACACGAATATCATTTCATCATGAAACTTTGCAAGCAATGAAAACATTTGTCAGCGTGCGACATGAAAAAAATCAAAATGTTTTGAAAAAAAATCAATGTTTTTTATTTTACTGTTCAGCCGAGCTCACATCAGCTTAGGATCAGAACAACACTTTCGGAGCATGTAGTCAATTTTCAAAATTTTGCCCGCTTATATAAATGGAATAATATAAATTCCTCATGGTAAATATCACAACATCATGGATAATCTCATGTTTAGATCAGATGGACCTAGCTATGAGCCGGTGACTTAAATAATTGTTTGTTAGACAGTTGTGAAATACCAAAACAATGTTTTTACTAAGGACTTACTAGTCATCTATAATAGCTCCCTAATTTTAGAGCCCTCCCATTCAATTGGGATGTTACATTTGAATTTGGTTCATGATTTTGACTGGGCCAAAGAATTCTCAAGGATCTCTCTAATTCAGGTAGGGTAATAATTTTCTATTTGATTCACGATTTTGACTATAGGTCGACGATTTCTCAAATTAATCGACAACAACCAGGCTATAAAAACACATCAATACTGTGCACCCTCTCAACACTTAAAAATATCAGTTCCCATACACCTATTTCTCTCAATCATCTAATTCACTATACTCCCTAATTTTTAGCCATCCCATTCAAATGAGATGTTTAATTTTGAATTCGGTTCATGATTTTGACCGGGTCAACGATTTCTCAAGGATCTATCTCATTTAGTTAGGGTAATAGTTCTTTATTTAATTCATGATTTTGACTAGGGCAACAATTTCTCAAATTAATCGACAATAACCGACCTACTAAAACATATCATCGCCGTGCACCCTCTCACCACTTAAAAACACCAGTCCTCATACACCTATTTTTCCCTGAATCATCTAATTCACTATACTTCCTAATTTTTTAACCATCCCATTCAAGTGCGATGTTCAACTTTGAATTTGGTTCACGATTTTGACCGGGTCAACTATTTCTCAACGAGCTCTCTCATTCAGATGAGGTATTCGATTTTGAAATTGATTCACTATTTTGACTGGGTCAATGATTTCTTAAATTAATCGGCAAAAACTAGGATGTAAAAACACATCAGACATATGCACCCTCTCACCATTTTAAAAATAAGTGTCAACATGTGACGCTATAGCTCTCCGCAAAAAAAAACAAGCGACACTGTAGCACCAATGTAGTACATGCGGCCACCAACGCAAAAAAACTTTCCACATAAGTATTTGATGAGTAGAAGATAACGCGTAATCACATCGCCAAGAAAGCCCTCTAAAGCACCACATTACAAAAAGAAATACACCTCATCATCTTCCCCACGCGCCAAACCAATTTTATCTTCGTGAAATCCCAACAACCCCGACGGCACAGTGAAGCACACCCAACCCTTCTAGTATTTTATTACGCCTGATCAGAAATAGATGACGTGATCGCTGCAAGCGGAGCCATTTGATAGATTGATAGTTAAACCACGTAGTGAATCGAGTGGGTTTGTGACCTGAATGTCCTAGCCTCCTCATTTGCCCTGAAGAAAATAAATTACAAGCCTATGGTTAATCCAGGTTCGCATATCTACATGTCCAACGACGCACCCAGAGGGATGTGCAAGGAGCGCCATTAGATGATGGCCTCAACTCACACAGCACCACACCCATAACTAAAAGAAGGATCCTCGACGACAAATAAATTTTGGAGGGGGGATGGATGTGTGTGCAAAGGATAGTAATCCTAAGAAAAAAAATGGATCATAGAGTTGAGCCATGGAAATTTCATAAGATAGGAATCCGCTTGCCGGTTTGGTGTGGGATGAAAATAATGATGCTGGTTGTGTCTTGCAAAAGCTTTCCTGTTTTCTTTTTTCCCCAATTTTCTTCTACATTTTGATCTCAGTTTCTCTTGCTGCTACTAGGAGCCTATGTGTTGCTATGGAATAATGATAAATGCAGTTGAATGGTTACTTAGAATGTATCAAGATATTCAAAAGAGTTTCCGCCTCACTTGGATTGAGGACCTTTGTCCCTGCAGGAAAAAAGACCGGAGACCATGTAACAAACTCCAAATAATAGAAATACCCTTGTATTCCATTGAAAAAAACATGATAGCATAAGAGCAAGAGCAATGTGCTCATATTCAGGTTCTAGGCTAATCTAGCAAGGCACTGGTAGATTAGCCATTATAAGAGGGTGGCCAAGTTTGGTTTTGAGAGAGGTAATACACATTGAAGATTTTTTACTAGTTTAGACACGGTACGAGATGTCTATCCTTGGCACCCTCATCGGCACTACACATACTCATGCTGCAGAGCAACTCTAGTAGAGTCGCCAAAAAGATACTCATGCTGCAGAGCAACTCTAGTAGAGTCGCCAAAAAGACAGCCTCTATAACCGTTTGGAATGCACTTCAAAAAATTATGAAGGCTGCAGAGAAACCTGGCAAACTCAAAGTCTTCATATTTGTCTTTCTTCATAATCATGTGATCCACTTGTCAATGGGACATCCAGTTTCTCTCAACCTCTTCAAAGTTTTCTTCATGCCACATGTTTTTTTTAAACGGTCACGCCACATGTAGTTTACACATTACTGTCTTATGGAGCGCGCTCCAAAGGCAGCCCTGAGACGCCATATATGATGACTGAAAGGTCAAATATGGAGGATACTTCATTAATTATTGATATCTGAATGCATTCGATGGCTCTGATAGAGTGTTTTTTGTTACCAAAATTGCCATAATAGTTGTAAAAAAAATGTGATCTTCGGATATTTTGATCAAGTAGATATAGCAACTCTGCTAGAGTTGCTCTTGAAATTTCCAAATTAGCATTGCCTTGCAAAGATGAAGATAAAAAAAACATATTGCGTGACGCAGATCCAATGGTTGGTATAGTTCAGATGAACGGTCGCAATTCAAACCATTATATGAGAACATGGAAAATATAAAAAGATGGAGACGCTATCTTCGAAAGTAGCAGTCAACATTCTGCGTTGGGCACGAAGAGAACGCTAAAAATAATCTACATTTGCAGACAAATGGGAGTACCGTAATATGCTTTGTTTACTGTGATGCGATCTGACATGAGTCCCCGAGTGACATGGATGTCCGCTGTTAGCCTGTTAGGTCAACCTCATTGTCGGGTCGATGGGATCGGATCTGGAATCAGGAATGCATGCACGCGCCTTTGGCAACTCCTAATAAAAATTTATGGTATGCAACAGTGTGTGTTGACCGGAGAGGACCAGCCCACCACCGACCACCGCTGCAGTACAAGCAGTTAAGAAGTTATTAGTGGCTGTACGGACGATCGGTTAAACCACAAAGCCCAGCTACCAGTAGTAGTATTTCCATATTATTTCAGCAAGACAGCGACTGTGTCAGTGTGTTATTCGCAAAAAAAAAAAAAGACAGCAACTGCATTGAGCTGCTAATAATTACTTCCTCCATCCCATAATATAAAACCGTTTTTTACAGTACTACACTGGAAGTATTTACCGGAGCTAAGAGCTTGACGTGGATCGGTAGTCCCTTCATAGTCTCTGGCAGAACATTCCAGTTCCAGGCGGCGCGTGCCAAATTATTTACCAGAACATTCCAGGCGGCGACGGTGTGACTGTTATTCGCAAAAAAGGAAGGAAAAGAAGACAGCGAGTGCGTTGAGCTACTCATTATTTACCGGAGCTTGGCGTCGATCATTCGGAAGTCCATTCATAGTCTCTCGCAGAACATTCCAGGCGGCGCGTGCCAGATTAACACGAGCACGCGCACGTGCGCGCGCGCGTGCCGGATCGACCAGGAAAGAGTGGAACGAACGACGTGGAAAAACGTTGGAACAACACGTCGACTCGAGGCGAGGAGAGCCGAATCTGGACGTGGCCTGAGAGCTTCGGCACACCAAATGTCGGCCGGGCGGAGAAGATTTGTCCATGCCACATGAAGGAGGAGGAGGAGGAGATCGAACTTCACCTCGCCGGGGCGAGCTTGACCCACGGCCATGGGCGTGGAAACCTCGGGTGCATGCACGCACGCACGCCTGGACCAGGACCACGTCACTCGGCGTGGTGTAGGGTAGGGCGTCTAGCAAGTGGCCAGCCGTAGGCCACGCGCCCGCCCTCATGTATGCATGCACTCATGTTTTTTTTTTTTGCAATGGTGTGTATGTAGTCATGTCTATCGAAATCCGTAGCCCTAATAATGATCCGAATAAAATACCGTATACGTACAGTACTATTACA